CCCCCCCCATTTTTTCGATGCATTGTTCCTCTTAGTTTTCCTATTGATTTTTTTTCCCCATCAGGTTAGTTTCATTATACTTTATAAGAGAGAACATATTTTTTAAATTTTATTTTGTGTTTTCTCTATATCAATTAATTATTGGCTAGTCATTGTAAGGTTACACTAAAAAGGTATGCCGATGATACAAAAGCGTTATTCAATCAATTGACTGATTGACTATTGATGCATTCGCAATACCGTATGGATGAAGCCTAAATACACATTGTAGAAACGTTTTGAAAGTTTAAATCCGGTTTTACATAAGAAATACAGGAAAGAAAACAGGATATCTTTATAACATGCTTCCTCTTTTGGAATTTCGATACCACACCTTTTTCCTAGTCGTTCTATATACCCATATTTCATCCACAAAAAAACACTCTATTATTTCTGTACTTCTACAGTACTTCGGAGGTCAATGCCCATTAGTGATTCTCTTCTACGATACGCCNNNNTACGCCTACTACTGAAAGGTCCACTGATTAATCGCAGATAAGAAAGTATAATACATACTCCAAGTATTGAAATACACGCCATCGTGTTGGGATTCAATATTTCGACATTAATTATGTCATCATACGCCGACTTTTATTTCAAATTGTGTGTTACGGTTGGTAGCAAATACGCCTATATCATTAAATATATTTCATTTAATTAATGTTATTTAATTTGTTTATCAGAAAATTAGGTTAATTTATGTTTTATAAAGTATGCGTAGGCCTATTATATATATAGGCTTAGCCCAACTAGCATTCAATTAAATACATTAGATTGGTCTGTCTGTCCATCATTGAATCTTCAATGTGTCATATTTACAGCTTTCATATAATATTATTGTACCGGTACTGCTTATATTTTTGCAGGTTTCAATCTGCTATGGGTTTTAACTCACGAAATTGGTCATGTGATTGGTATACTTTATTCGCGAAATAAATCCGATGTGATGTATCATTTGAGAGACAACAGAGAGGGCTCACATCGCCCTGTAAAATTGAGTAAAAGGGATAAAGCCGCGGCAAGGCAGCTTTATGGTATGTTATGTTTCTACGTAGGACTATAATCCTCAACAATGGAAATTATTATTGTCGTTCAAAAATGACGACGATGATGGCTACAGTAACAATAGTGACAACAATAATAATAGGCCTAATAATATTATTAGGCCTATTATTATTATTGTTGTCACTATTGTTACTGTAGTCATCATCGTCGTCATTTTTGTTAATTTTGCTGTTGTCTTTGCTGTTGTCTTCATTATCATCATCCTCTTTCTAATTATTATTATTATTATTATTAATACCTTACGAAAACGACAATGAATACGTCATAAGCATTATCGTCATTTGTGCCTAAAAGATTCGTGGTAATATGCTGTAAGAGCTGAAAATGATCCTTGATTAATTCAAAAAGTATCAACAATGTTATGAATGATGATGACTATCGTAAACTTTGTCCTCACCATCATCAACTTACGTAATTTTTGGAATGTAGCAGGGCCGGCGGAACGTTTTTCAAAGTGTGGGGGGGGGGGCCCACTTATAAGCAGATGCGTAACAAAGGTCTTGGGTCGGGGGGCAAAGGTAATAATTTTCCCGGTTAGTATGACTTGGTGTGATACCCCCCCCCCCCACCATATAGAAAACAATACGACATAGGGCTTATTTTATTATTAGGCCAAACACGTGTGTTTGATAAGCATTTTCATCGTGGTTTTATTTATTACAATTCATAGGCCTGTCCTTTCACCATCATTACACATTGAGGCCCTTCTTTTAGGTAAAACGATCTATCTTAAATTTTCTTTCTCAAGTTTGGGACTATTATGTTTTTAAATAACTTAGAAGGCAAAGGAGGGCAAGCACAAGCTTTAACCCTAACAAATGAATTTTTTTTGTGTTTTTAATTCTTATTTCGTCGGAATTGATCAAAACTCCCTAAATGTGCAATTTTTAGAGGGAATTGGCCTACCTCAACAAGAAATTCTCATGTTATATATGGCCACACTCGTTTTTTTTTAAACTGAATATAAGCATTTTTCCTTATGGCTTTATTTATTACAAACATATTCTTTCAACATCATTACACATTGAGGCCCTTCTTTTAGGTAAAACGATCTATCTTAAATTTTCTTTCTTGAGTTTGGACTATGTGTTATAACTTAGAAGGCAAAGGAGAGCAAGCACAAGCTTTAACATTAAAAAATGCGCGCGAAGCGCGCGAAAAAATTTTGTTTTAAAAATTCTAATTTCGTCGGAATTGATCAAAACTCCCTAACATGTGCAATTCT